CCTGGCAGAAGCAAGCGCGGTGAGCTGGCGTGAGCACTGGGCTCTTAACCAGCTCAGCACTGCCAGGCTGCTTGCTGTGCCTTCAGTTTCACACAACACAGTACCTGGTCTGGTTTTTAGGATGGAAGCTAAGGTTATTGACTAGATTGTTCTTGTTTTCTAAATAGTCGTTTAGTGCTATAAATATCCTCCTAAGTACTTGCTTTAGTGGTGTCCCACAAATTCTCACATTCATTTCATTTTTATTCAGTTAAAAATACTTAGTATTTCCCTTCTGATTTCATCTTTGATCCATACATTACTTAGAAGTGTGTTATTTAGTTGCCAAATATTTAGGGATTTTTTTTTTTTTTTTAAGATTTTATTTATTTGCGAGAGAGAATGAGCGAGAGAGTGCATGCCCAGGTGGGAGGGGGAGTGGGAGAGGGAGAAGCAGACTCCCCACTGAGCAGGGAGCCCGATGCGGGGCTCGATCTCATGACCCTGGGATCATGACCTGAGCCGAAGGCAGACGCCTAACCCACTGAGCCACCCAGGTGTCCCCAAATAAATAAATCTTAAAAAAAAAAAAGTATTTTCTTCTATTGCATAGCTTGTCTTTTCACTTGATAGTGTCCTTTGATACACAAATGTTTTAATTACGCTGAAGTCAAGTTTATCTATTTTTGTTGTTTTTGCTCATGCTTGTGGTGTCAATGTTAAGAATCCATTGCCAATAAGGTCACGAAGATTAATCCCTATTTTTTTTCCTGAGAGTTTTAGTTGTAGTTCTTGCATTTAGGTCTCTGATCCATTTTGAGTTAATTTGTGTACGTGATGTGAGGTAGGGATTTGACTTCATTCTTTCGCATGTGGATATCCATTTGTCCCAGCTCCATTTGTTGAAAAACTATTCTTTTTTTTTTTCTCCATTCAATACATGCCCTCTTTAATAGCCATCACCAGACTAACCCATCCCCCCACCCCCCTCCCCTCTAGAACCCTCAGTTTGTTTCTCAGAGTCCATAGTCTCTCATGGTTTGTCTACCCCACCGATTTCCCCCCCTTCATTTCTCCCTTCCTACTATCTTCTTTTTTTTTTTTTTTAACGTATAATGTATTATTTGTTTCAGGGGTACAGGTCTGTGATTCAACAGTCTTACACAATTCACAGTGCTCACCATAGCACATACCCTCCCGAATGTCTATCACCCAGCCACCCCATCCCTCCCACCCCCCCACCACTGCAGCAACCCTCAGTTTGTTTCCTGAGATTAAGAATTCCTCATATCAGTGAGATCATATGATACATGTCTTTTTCTGATGGACTTATTTCGATTAGCATAATATCCTCTAGTTCCATCCACATCGTTGCAAATGGCAAGATCTCATTCCTTTTGATGGCTGCATAATATTCCATTGAATATATATACCACATCTTCTTTATCCATTCATCTGCTGATGGACATCTTGGCTCTTTCCACAGTTTGGCTATTGTGGACATTCCTGCTATGAACATCGGGGTGCACGTACCCCTTCGGATCCCTACTTTTGTATCTTTGGGGTAAATACCCAGTAGTGCAATTGCTGGATCGTATGGTAGCTCTATTTTCAACTTTTTGAGGAACTTCCATACTGTTTTGCAGAGTGGCTGCACCAGCTTGTGTTCCCACCAACAGTGTGAAAAACTATTCTTTCATCACTGAATTATCTTTGTACTCTTGTTAAAAATCAATTGACCACATATGCAAGGGTTTATTTCTGGAGTCTTTTTTTTTTTTTTTTTTAAGATTTTATTTATTTATTTGAGAGAGAGAGAGAGAGAGCACGAGAGGGGGGAGGGTCAGAGGGAGAAGCAGACCCCTCGCTGAGCCAGGAGCCCGATGTGGGACTCGATCCCGGGACTCCAGGATCATGACCTAGCTGAAGGCAGTCGCTTAACCAACTGAGCCACCCAGGCGCCCTTATATTAAGTTTTGAAATAGAGAATTTGAGTATTCCTGCTTTGTTTTCAATATTGTTTTAGCTGTTTTGGGCCCTTTGCAATCCCATATGAATTTCCATTTCCGCAAAAAAGGCCATTGGAATTTTGATAGGGATTGCATTGAGTTTCTAGTTAATCTTTAAAAGGACTTAAATAAGGAGAGCAAGTCTTTTATATTTGTTCCATAATTATAATTTTGGTGCTTTTCACTCCTCCTAAATCTGGATTTCCATCTGGTATTGGTTTTCTTCTGCCTGAAGGATTTTATTTAATGTCTGTAATGCAGGTCTGTAGGTGATAAATTTTTTCAGCTCTTGTCTGAACTCTGTGGAGTTTTCACTGGGTGTAGCCCTCTCGTTAATAGGTTTGTTTTGTTTTCTCAGAGTGGTTCCACTGTCTCCTGACTCATCAGAGAAATCTGCCGTCATCTCATACTTGTTTCTTTTCTCTGGGTGATTTTAGTGTGTCCTTTGCTTCACTGGTTTTAGGCAATTTTGTGATACGCCTTGGTGTAGTTTCTCTCATCGTGCTTGTGCTCAGGGGCGGATGAGCTGCTACCATCTGTAGATTTATAGTTTCTATCAAATTTGGAAATTTTTGAGCCATTATGGTTTTCAAGTACTTCGTTTATCCTCACCCTGCCTCTTCCCTGGGACTCTAGTTACCCATGTTTGACCCCAGCTCACTCTGCTCTCTGGTTTTTCAGTCTTTCTTTTTCTGTGTTTTGTTTTGGGTAGTCTTGGTGCTGTTTCTTCAAGCTTACTAGTCTTCTATGTTGTGTAACTGGCTGGTAATCCCATCCGTCGCCCCCTCGCGTCACTCCCTGTCCTTCCATGCTGCGTGTCTTCTGGGTCACTGCTCCGCATGGGCCGTGTGTGCTCTGTGTCCTGAGCCTGCTCGTCTCCTGGCTCTGCCGGGGCGATGGTGAGTTCTCCCCATTGTGGTGGACCAGTTTCCCTTCCCTGTTGCTGCCAGTTTCATGGAGTTGGGAGCTGGTGCCTTTATTCCTGTGTGTTCTCAGGCTTTGTTCTGGGACAGAGTTTGATGCCGTCAGGTTGCGCCCGTCAGCTTTGTTGGTCAGGACCAGAGAGCGCTGACCGGCTCCATGTCCCTGCTTGCTGCTGGTGGCCCTCTCCCAGGTTTGCACTGATTGTGCCCTCTGTCCGCGGTCGGCCCCTTCTGCTGCCCTGTCCAGCGTCTTGCAGCACCGCCTCCTTACTGAAGGTCTGCTGGTCTGCCTGCCATCGTCTCTCTCTCTCTCAGCACCAGGACGGGAGGTCCTTCGGTGGGGACAGAGCTGTCGCGAAGCTCACCTGCGCTTCCCCTCACTCTCTGGTGCTTAGTCACACAGAGTTCCCTGTTAATGGTAGCTTTCGCACCCAGGAGCCAGACCCAGTCACTGTGACTGTCTTACTAGCTCCGCAGGAGGGTCACCCGCCTCGGTGCTCGTGGGCTGGGCTGGGGACTGCGCGGAGGTGAAGATTCGGGCTGAGGCTGGCAGCCTGGTGTCACAGTGTTCAGCCGTCTGGCCTTGGGACAGCCTCTGATGATTGACCCAATGCCTGGTGAGATGTCCACACTCCAGCCTGGGGTTCAGGAGTGTGTTGTGCAGCTGGGGGTCAGGGCTGCCACCAGGTTGGGCCAAGTCTTGTGTAGACATGGATCTGTGCTTTGTTTGGTCTTTTATTTGGGACCGGGATGGAGGAGGACAGCATCAGGAATCAGAGCTGAGCTGACTTGGTTTGAAAGGAAACTGGCATTTTCATGGAACGGGCCGTGGGGGCAGCTGGGGGCAGATGAGCAAGACCTGTCCTCGGGAAGGAGAGACCCCACTTCATTTACCAGTCCCCCGCTGGCTTTCTGTGTTTTGATATATTATCAGAAATGGTGCTGCTCAGTAACACCCTTATCTTTATGCATATTTTCCTAATTGTTTTCTTAGACGGAATTCCTAGACTTCATATCAAATAGCAAATAAGCGAAAATGCGCTTGTTTCTCTCAAGACTTAAAGACATCAACTACTTTCTTCTTCGGTAGCCCTCCCCGGATTTTGTTTTTCTTCCGTGAGCCGGGAGCCCTGTAGAGAGTCTGCATGGGGTGGCCATTGGGAGGGGGGCTGCTGGGGAGGACACACACAGGCCCGTGGGGGTTGCGTCCTGGTGACTGGGGCTGTGCCAGGTGGTCGGATGGAGGCACTGGATGAGGGCCGCAGCCCGCGCAGGACCTAGCCCGTGGACTGGGTCGGCTGCACCTGCCATGTTGTGCTCACCCATGGGGTCTCCTCCCTGAAGCTGGGCGCAGTGCCCCCTGGCCTGTTGCAGCCCAGAGCCCTCCCTGGGTCTAAGGGTGGGGATGGCAGCGTCCTCTCCCCTCTCTCTGGTACTTTCTGCTCTCTGCCCAGGCCCTGGTCTGTCGACTGGTTCTGAGTGTCCTGGTTCACGCTCCTGTCCCATCACTCGGCCCAGTCCTGGGCTCACACCCTCCCAGGCCTTCCTGGTCTCAGTGGCCTCCCAGGATGGGTGAGCAGACGGGTCAAGATCAGGCAGTGGAAGGGTGCCTCCCTGAGCCTCGGTTTCTCCATCTGGAGTGGGGCAGAGGGGTGCTGTGGGGGCCGCAGACCTGTCCTGGTGGTAGGGTAGGATCTCCCTGCCTGGCCCCTAGGTCAGCAGCCTGACTCCGGAAAGGGGCTGTGCTGCTGGGGGCCCCATACCCACCTCCTCTCTCTGGGCCCCTAGCCAGTCCCTCAGCTGGGCCCAGGTCCTTCCCTGCCTGGCCCTGCTCGGCCATCAGCCCCACCTAGCTCCTCCCTGTCCCTACCCCCACCCGACCACTGGCCCTGCAGCCCTGTGTAGCCCTTAGGTGTCCAGTACCCCTCCAGTGGCCAGTGGCCCCCATCCAGCTCCCCCCGTGTCCAATCATGTCCTTCCTCAATGTCCAGCTCCTGGGCACTTGCATGAGCCGCGTCCCCAGAGGGAGTCCTGCCGCAGGGCTAGCCAGCGTCGGCCTCCCTCTTACAAGCATCTGGTCTCTGCACAGGCGTTTGGACAGGCACACACGAACCACAAGAAGGTGGCCGCGGACGGCGAGAGCCGCGAGGAGAGCCTGATCCAGGAGTCGGCCTCCAAAGAGCAGTACTATGTGCGCAAGGTGCTAGAGCTGCAGACGGAGCTGAAGCAGCTACGGAACGTGCTCACCAACACACAGTCGGAGAATGAGCGCCTGGCCTCCGTGGCGCAGGAGCTGAAGGAGGTAATGGGCACGCCCAGTGGGGAGGGGAGGGCGAGTGTCTGGTGCCCTTTGGGAGGTGGGAGGCTGCGCTGCCGCCCTCGAGGTGGGGTGGGCGAGCGGCAGGGACAGCGGGTGCAGCGCGGAGCCCGTGTGAGCGAGTCCTGGCCATGGCCTCGGGACCCCTGGGTTGTCATCCAGAAGGGCAGGGGGCCCTACTCTCTGCCCTCTGTTTACTTGGGGGGCAGAGACAGGTGACCAGAGGGACACATGGTTCTGAGTGCCTCACTTCCGATGGGACGGTACGGAGCAGTCAGGATCCCATAGGGCTGGTTTGGGACAGAGCCCAGGGGCTGGCAACAGTGGGGAGCAGTCACCCCCCTGGTTGGGGGTCAGAGATCATGAAGGCCTGTAGGTCTGGGAGGAGCTTGGCTTGGATGGGATCGCTGTACGGAGCGGAGCCAGAGTGCATGATTTCACTTCCTCCCACGGGATCACCGGGTTGGGATGGAGGGAGGGGCCGCCGGGGAGGTGGGTTTGAGCTCACTGAGGCAGTCTCAGCCCTGCAGCTTCCAGGCTTGTTCCGCTCTCCTCCTCCTCCAGAAGGGCTTGTCTGGGCTGTCGGGAAAGCCCCGGTGACCTGCTGACTCCTGGGTTTGGGCGCCAGGAAGTGAGCTCGGCCAGTCCCGCGTGAGAGCGGGTTTGGTGGGGCCGGGGTTCCTGCTGTTGGTGCTTCAGGAGGAGACCTGCTGCTCCCCGCCCCACGCACCCTCAGCCGCCTCTTTCTCTCAGGGCCCTGCCTCTTGCCCCCCAGGTCCCGCTCAGACCAGGGGCCCAGCCAGTGTCCCCGCCCTAGTCAGCCCCATCTGTACCCTATTCCTGAGCTCTTCTGCTGGTCCGGCCTCGGCTGTGGCCATCCCCTCTCCTCCTTGAGGCTGCACCTAAGGCTCAGGCCTGGCTGAGGAGCCTGAACCCCAAGAACACGGCGCCAAGCACTGTCCCCAAGAAGTGCGGCCCTGTGCCCGCCTCCGTGTGGCACGCACTGCAGGCCGTGCAGCGTCACCCCAGGGGACACACCGCTTCCGTGAGGATAGCTGTACCGCCCCGTGCCTGGTCTGGCTGCCGTCCGTGTCCTCTGCCAGAACCCCCGTGACAGTCGGCTTAAGTGTGCCCCCCCATGCCAACTTTCCAGGGGCATCGATGGCCTGTCATGTGACCCGTGTAACAGATGTACTCAGCACACGGGACAGCTTCAGCTGCCCCAGAGCTCATCCTTTTGGTGATTCTGTGGGCACCTCGCAGGTGGGGAAACCAAGGAGCATGCCTAGGGTCAGGCCGGCAGCTCTAGGTCCTGACCTCTGACATCAGCACTGTAGTGTGACCTAGTGCAGCCCAGCTAGCATCTGTTCTGGGACGTGGCCTGGAGCCTCATTTTGCAGATGGAAAAGCAGAGGCCCTGGGAGGTGGGCATGGCTGCAGTTGGCTAGAGGCAGTCAGGTCTCGTGCCCACACTGAGGCCTCCCAGAGATTCGCTCTGGGAGGCAGGGTGGGGGCTGCCCTTGAGAGGCGGGACTGGGTTGGTGAGGAGTCAGCCTCATCTGCCCAGTGGGGCCCTGCCCGGTGATTTTTTTGTCCTGGTGGACCCTGTCCTTGCTGCCCTGTGGACCCCGTGTGTCTTGGGACCTAGAGTCCCAGCAGAATTCTGTGCCCCCTGCCACCTAGGGCAGAAGCCAGGAAAGGCTTGATTGTCCAGTGGTGGTGTCTGGGCTGCCCAGAGCCGGCTGGAAGGAAGCCAGGCGTCTGCTCATGAGCTCAGGCGGGAGCAGCCTTGCCAGGCGCCAGGTGGGCTCTTCAGCGTGGGGTGGCTCCCAAGCCAGGGGATGGAAGGTGGGGGGACTGTCTCATGGGCAGACAGCCTGGAGGCAAGAGGAGGGGATGTGGGTATATGGACGAGGCAGCAGGGATGGAGCCCCACACGGGAGGAGGAACTGGGAGGCCTGGGTGGGTCTTGAGGGAATGGACCCCGTGAGGAAGTGCACATCCCTCCTGGGGAGCAGGGCTGGGCCTGACTTGCCCAGGGTGTGGCATGCAGCCCCCCAGGAGGTCAGGGGAGTCAAGGAAGGCGTGTCTGCAGAGGGGCAGATGTTCCCTGGACAACCTGCACGGGGGGGACGGGGGGCCCTCACTCCATCCATCCTTGGCCTCTGCGGTTACATACAAAAAACACTTACCTGCCCAGGCACTTTGGGGGTCCCTGGACATCCAGGAGAAGGTGCCTCCGGGTCCCAGGCAGGCCCACCTGCCGCCCCATCGTACCCCGTTTCAGAGCTGGTCCTTCTCCTGGTGACAGCAGCCGTAGGCACAGGCTTCCTAGGGACTCCAGTAAAGGAGGCCCGCCCCGCAGGCTTCTCAGCTGCCATGTGTCCAACACAGCTTTGGAACCTTCCACGTCCCTGCAGAAGCCACAGTGCTTGGCGCATCCCAGGACTCTGGTCAGACCAGCTGCATTGTCTCCCTCGAGACAGCAGGTCCAGCCTGGGGCGTCGCTTATCACCTCCCTAGAACCCCCTGGGAGAAAGGCAGTGGGAAGTACAGCTGGGGGCCTGGAGGAGAGAGCCCCCACCTGAGAGACCCCTTTGTGTCCTTCTGGCTGGCTTGTATGGTTGTCACAGGCCCCTCAGTGAGGCTGGTCCCTGGGTGCCCTCTCCTGACGCCCCTGCCTGGCTCCTCCTTCCCCTACCAGCCAGAGCTCCTGTGGCCATGGCCCAGGCTGCAGGACCCAGGGCCCAGGGCATCACCGCTGCTCTGGAACCTTCCGGGCAGAGAATCTCCCAGCCACGACTGCTCTCGTCTCCCCCCCCCCATCCCCCCCCCCACGCACGCACACACACACCTGGGGTGCCTCAGTCCCTCTTGGGCTGGACAGGAGGGTGGGCAGAGCCCTGGCTGGAAGGACAGACGCCTGGCTCAGCCCTGACCTGCCGGTGCCCCCTGCCCTGACGGCGCTTCTCTGTCCGTGTGAGGACAGCCATCTGGTCCAGAGTGAGTCCCGTCTGCGGTTCCTCCGTGGCCTCTGTGGGGCTTCCTCACTGAAGGGGGGTGTGCTGGCTGGCTGGGCTGGGGGCTCTGAGGGGCATGGAGAGGGTTTGCCAACAAGGAACCTGAGGTCTGGGGTCCCCGGGCGTCCACCTTCTCCACCTGGCCGGCACCCTGTTGGCGCCCATCATCAGGGCTGCCGTCGACGGGCTGCCTGGGAGAAGATGCTTACTTTGGGGAAAACCAAACCACATGGTGGCCCGTTGGAGCTTGTCTGAGCCCTCAGAGTTGGGTGTGTGCTAGGCGGAGGTGCCAGGTCTGCTGTGGGACCAAAATGCAGGCATTTGGACCCCATAGCATCAGCAGACAGCAGCCTCACCTGCCACATGGCGTCCTGGGCGCACTTGTGAGCTGGTGCTCCCGACCTTGCCTCCCACGGGACCCCGTGCCCGTTGTCAGCCCGGGTGCTTATGATTGGAGGCTGTGTTGACATTCCTGGCCACGGAGCAAGGCGAGATGTGACTCCTGGGGACCCACATGGGTCTTCCCATGGACCCGTCACCCTGACTTGGAAGGTTGAGTCTGTCCCGGCCGTGGGGGGAGCTGCCCCACGGGCCTCTTTCTGCAGTCTGGAGGGTGGGTAGCTGCGGGCTTCAGACCTTGGCTTCCACCCTGCCCGGTGGCCATGGCAGGTCACGCCACGCATGTGTGGGCACCTCCTGCACCCAACGTGAGAGAGGGCGGAGCTGGCAGGGCGTTTCTGGCAGAGGGACGAGCAAGCACTTGCTTGGTGGTCATGGGAAGGGAGGAAGTGTTCTGGGTAACAGTGCACGCTCGGAGCAAGCTGGAGCCGGTGGTGTGTGCGCTCTGTGGATGGTCTTACAGGATGTGTTGTCTTTCGGTCAAGGACACAGACTGTGTGCGGCTTCAGCTCAGCAGGGGTCCCACGTGCGCCTGGTGCTCGGGTTCCGGGGTGCAGAGGGTGTGGGAGGCCCGGGGCAGGCAGACAGGCTGGCCTCCACTCCCCTGCCACCTCCTCTTTCTGTCCACCTCCGGGACTTGTTGAGCTTTAAATAAAGCCCATTTGGAAGGATAGGAATGTGTTTTGCTCATGGCCATGCTCCCAGTGTCGCTTCCTGTGTCCTCTCATGCTGAGTGGGCAGTTGCTCCGAGCAGGGGCGTCAGGCCAGGGTGGACTGAGCCACAGGGCGGGGGGGGCACCCAGCCTGCTGGAGCCACGTGGACGTCACGGTTCTTATAAGTCAGTGACCGTGGTGGTAGTGAGGGCTCTCTAGAGCGCACACCCGGGGAGGGAGAGAGCGGTTTAGGGTAAGGAATTGGCTCATGTGACCGTGAGGGCGATGGGCCCGTGGCTGGAGACCCAGGGAAGAGCTGATGTTGTAACTGGAGTCTGAAGGGGTCTGGAGGCAGAATTTCTCTTTCCGGAGAATTCTAGTCTTCTCTTTAGGAGTTTGAACCGATTGGAGGAGGCCCATTATGGAGGGTGCTCTGCTTCACTCAGAGTGTGCTGAATTAAACGTCACTCTCGCCTTTACCCAGCATGGTGGCGCCTAGGCTGGCGTTTGCCCAAATACCTGGATGTGGGGGCCTCGCCACGTTGACGCTGATGTTAACCGTGATAGTCGGGCGGTAAACAAGGGTGGTGTGTGGGGGGCTTTGTCAGGGATTTCCAGCTGCCACTCTGGATCCACAGAAGTGAGTGACTCTGTTTCCTCACGTCGCCGCTCTGACTGTGTCATTTTGCTTATTTTTGCCTGTTCAGCAGGGGTTTTGCTTTCCTGGTGAGCCTTGCTTTTTCTCCAGCTGTGTGTTTCTTCTGGTGTCGCTCTCGGCCACCTCCCCGGGTCACTTTGCCGGAGACTCATGTAGTGAGCAGCTGTCAGGAGTGCTTGCTACGGAAGGACTCCCCCTTACTGTCCTTTCATGTTTTCCTTCTTTCTCTCTGGTCCTGTTTCATTACCAATCCAGCGTTGCTGTTGCGTGCATACCTGCATGGAGTGTTGGGGTCTTATGTGCGGAGCTCCAGCACAGTGGAGAGGCCACTGGGCCTGGGGGCACCAGATGCCACCTAGAGTGTGGAAACCAGGGAACAGGTGGGGCATAGGCTGTGCAGGGGTCATTTCTGCCCCCCGGGGCCGTTGGCCATGTCTGGAGACCGTTCCAGTTGTCGCAGTGTGGGAGGGAGCTGCTAAACATCCTGGAACATACAGGACGGCCCAGAATGTCACAAGGACTGAGGTCAAGGGACCCAGCCAGGTCCTGGCTCAGGGCGCCGGTGGCAGCTCACACAGGGTCTGCCTGACACCTGAATCCTCAGGGTAGCAGCTTCACTCAGATAATCCACATCCCTTACAACTCACTCACTTCACGGGTACATAGGTTTATGCACCGTCCCAAATCCACTTCTGGATACTCCCGTCACTCCAGAAAGAAACCGTGTCAGGTGCTCGTTCCCCACGCACCCCACATTCCGCCTTCTCTGTGTGCGGATTGGCCTGTTGTGAACGCTTCCTGTGTGTGGAATCATATGGTGCGTGGCCATGTGTCTAGTTTCTTTCATCACGGTAGTGGTTCGAGGTCCCTTCGCGTTACGGCACGTGGCGGCCCGTCGTGTCCGTCCTCATGGCTGAACCACACCCATTGTGTGAATGTATCACATGTCGTTTATGTGTGTGCCAGTCAGTGAGCTTTGGGTTGTTCCCACATTTGGCTACTGTGACTAGTGCCGTTGCTTCTCGGGGTGCCTGCCGAGGAGGGGCGCTGCTGGGTCAGATGGCGCTGAGCTGTTCCAGCAGCTGTGGCATGTGAGGGAGGGACTGCTTTTAGCCCATTTTACGGATGAAGGAACCAGGGGTCAGAGCAGGCTGAGACCCTGCACTGCTCACCCCCAGAGCACACTGCCCGGGCTGTGGCTCCCCCTGAGTGGCCACACCGGGCTCCGTGCAGGCCTGGGCTCGGAGTCCCAGCTGCGTGGCCTCCAGCGCCGGTGGGACCAGCTGTGACCCGCTGTGACCAGCTGCCCACGCCCACCTTCCTCTCTGCAGATCAACCAGAACGTGGAGACCCAGCGTGGCCGCCTGCGGGATGACATCAAGGAGTATAAGTTCCGAGAGGCCCGCCTGCTGCAGGACTACTCGGAGCTGGAGGAAGAGAACATCAGCCTGCAGAAGCAGGTGTCTGTGCTCAGGCAGAACCAGGCAAGTGTCCAGGCTGCGGCCCCTGCCCCTCGCTTCGCGGTCTCTGTGGTCCACAGGTGTTTCCCTGCCTCCTTCCCCACAGCCGAGCCCAGGGCCGCACAGTGCACTGCTGTGGGCTGGGGGGTGGGGTGACAGGGCCCAGCCTCTCCTGGACCACAAGAACGAGGTCTCTGCCTATAGGATTGGCTGACCGTGGCCTGGCCAAGGTGTCCCAGTCAGCAAAGGTGGAAAAAAATACAACAGGTGATGCAGAGGGGACACCCAAGCCGCAAGAGGCAGGATGTCCAGCTCCATCCCTCCCACTTCCTCAGTTTGCCCGCTCCCTTGTCTCTGTGGTCCCGGGCCTTGGTAGCCCCCCGGGTAGAGCCGATGGGCATTGAGGAGCAATAGGGAGATGTCCAAGCTCTTATCTCCTGCGCTCGGATAACCCCAACAACAGGTGGGGTGAGAAGGATCACCTCTGCTGGTGACAGGACGCCCACGTGATACCCCTGGAGGTCTGCACCTGCCGCCTACCTCTCCCGGGGTCACAGCTCTGCAGGCTGGGGACTGGGGGACCTTTTCCCAGGAACCCCAAAGCTCAGCGCCCTGGATGTTTAAATCTTGTGTGGGGAGGCCTGGGCCTGTGTGTGTATGTCGACAGAAGGACACGGGCTGCACAGCAGGCCACACAGGGAAACTGAGTCAGGTGGTGGCGTCCAGGCCCCTCCCCGGCCTCCCCTCCCCTGGGCCTGGGGTCTTATGTGCGGAGCTCAGTCCTGCACCAAAGTGGTTTGTTCCTGACTTCTTGCACCAATATAACAGAATGATAAGAAGTATCTTTAGAAATTTCCCATAGGCCCTGAGCCCCCAGTGCAGGCGCCCTCGTCCGCCCGCAGACACGGTTTCAGTCCCTGGGACTCTGGGTTGTCTTCCCTTCCCACTGGGGTGCCTCGGGGTCTGGGTGCCGGGAGCGCAGCGACACATCCCTCCTCCGCGGGAGCGGTCGTACTTTTGTTTGGAAGTAGGGTTAGAAGTGATGGTCATCACATGCGTGTCGATACGTGTTTCATGTTTCTTAGAATATTTAACTGGCTCTTCACGTTCGTTGCATAGCTTTGTGGAATTTACGGCCAGTGTGCGTGTGGTGACGTTTTGCGCGACCCGGCCCGGGTGCAGCAGGGGTGTCGTGTCTCCGGCTCTGCTGCCGGCAGTGCTCGGGTCCCGGGTGTGGGTGTGCACCTCGGGCCCAGCGCCCCCGAGCGTCGGCCAGCCCCTCCTGTGGCATCTGCACGCTGGTGTTTCCCCCTCGCACGGGCACAGCACGGTGTCGCTCTCTTTCAGGTGGAGTTTGAGGGCCTCAAGCACGAGATCAAGCGTCTGGAGGAGGAGACCGAGTACCTCAACAGCCAGCTGGAGGACGCCATCAGGCTCAAGGAGATCTCAGAGCGGCAGCTGGAGGAGGCGCTGGAGACCCTGAAGACGGAGCGGGAGCAGAAGCTCAGCCTGCGCAAGGAGCTGTCCCACTACATGAGCATCAACGACTCCCTCTACACCAGCCACCTGCACGTCTCCCTGGAGGGCCTCAAGCTCAGCGATGACCCCGAGGCCCTGGCCAACGGCTTCGAGCACGGCGGCCTGGCCAAGCTGCCGCTGGACAACAGGACCTCCACGCCCTCCAAGGACGGCCTCGCCCCACCCTCCCCCAGCCTGGTGTCCGACCTCCTCAGTGAGCTCAACATCTCCGAGATCCAGAAGCTGAAGCAGCAGCTGATGCAGGTGCGGGCGGCCAGGGTCTCACAGCCCAGGGGCCTTGGGGCTGCGCACGCTGTCCCTGCCTCCAGCCCCGCCCCCGCAGTGTTGACAGATGCCGGGCCTTTGTCGACGTTGTGCACCCCCTTTGGAGTACTAGTGTTGATTGTAAAGTCCATGTTGTTACCCAAAGCAGAGCTGTAGAGATGCAGGGCAGGTGCCCAGAGGAGGAGGTTCCTGATGATGAGGGGGCGGTTTGGGCCCGCCGCAGGGTTCCCCAGGTTTGCTCGTGCCCTTTCATGGGGTCCACGTGCAGCCTCCCGCGCTGCATCCTGGGGATGCATCACATCAGGGTTTCCTGCCCTGGACAGAGCAGAGTCCGGGGGTCTGCAGCATGACCCGTCTCCAAGGAGGGGCCCACCCAGCTCCGCAAGCCTCCAGGCAGGGAGGGCCCACCGAGGCCCCACACCGGCACCCCCACTGCACACATCACAGACCTGCAGCATGACAGCTGGGGCACAGGCGGGGTCACCACCGGGTCTGTCCTGGGGGTCCTGCAGGCTGCTGATGGGCCTCCTGTGCTTTTGCAGATGGAGCGGGAGAAGGTGGGCCTGCTGACAACGCTGCAAGACACACAGAAGCAGCTGGAGCAGGCGCGGGGAGCCCTGTCGGAGCAGCGCGAGGAGGTGAGCCGCCTCACAGAGAACCTCAGTGCTCTGCGGCGCCTGCAAGCCGGCAAGGAGCGGCGGACGGCCCTGGACAGCGAGAAGGAGCGTGACAGCCATGAGGACGGTGACTACTACGAGGTGGACATCAATGGGCCTGAGATCCTGGCTTGCAAGTACCGTGTGGCCCTGGCAGAGGCAGGTGAGCTTCGCGAGCAGCTGAAAGCCCTGCACAGTGAGCATGAGGCTGGCGAGGCCCGGCATGCGGAGGAGAAGGGCCAGCGTGAGGCCGAGAGCCAGGCGCTCGCTGAGAAGGTCTCCCTGCTGGAGAAGGCCAGCCGCCAGGACCGCGAGCTGCTGGCCCGGCTGCAGGCGGAGCTGAAGAAGGTGAGCGACGTCGCTGGTGAGACGCAGGGCAGCCTGAGCGTGGCCCAGGACGAGCTGGTGACCTTCAGCGAGGAGCTGGCCAGCCTCTACCACCACGTGTGCATGTGCAACAACGAGACGCCCGCCCGCGTCGTGCTGGACTACTACCGGGAGGGCCCGGCCGGCCCCGAGGCCCGTGGGCACCGCTCGCCCGTCCTGCCCAGGGGGCCGCCAGCCACGGAGGGCGGGCCGGGGGACAGCAGCCCTTCGCCCAGCCCCTCTCTGCCCTCGCCCCTGAGCGACCCGCGTCGGGAGCCCATGAACATCTATAACCTGATCGCCATCATCCGTGACCAGATCCGGCACCTGCAGGCGGCCGTGGACCGCACCACAGAGCTGTCCCGGCAGCGCCTGGCCTCCCAGGAGCTGGGCCCTGCCGCGGATAAGGACCGGGAGGCGCTCATGGAGGAGATCCTCAAACTGAAGTCACTGCTGAGCACCAAGCGGGAGCAGATCACCACGCTGCGCACGGTGCTCAAGGCCAACAAGCAGGTGTGTGGCCGGGCGGGGCTCCTCCCTCCCTGGGCCCCGGACGGGGACCCGTGGAGGCAGGCGGACCCCTCCCCGAGTTTCTCAAGCCCCTGCCCTTTGTGTATCTGACCCCCAGACGGCCGAGGTGGCCCTGGCCAATCTGAAGAGCAAGTACGAGAACGAGAAGGCCATGGTGACCGAGACCATGATGAAGCTGCGCAACGAGCTGAAGGCCCTCAAGGAGGACGCCGCCACCTTCTCCTCCCTGCGCGCCATGTTTGCCACCAGGTACCGCCCGTGGCTCCTGCCAGTGTGGGCCGGGGGGGTCAGGCCGTGCGGGGGCTCCATCCCTGCCACTGTTGAAGGCCCACGGGCTGTTGCCTGCGGTGTTGGCCGCACTGCTGCAGGAGGGAGGGGGCTGGCAGTGGAGGCTGAGAGGCCAGGGCCCAGAGGCCGGCTGCAGGCACCAGGTTTGAAGCGGGTGCGGGCTGAGGCCGACACCCGGCAGACAGGGAGTTGGCCCCCCGGAACGCAGCAGGAAGTATGTAGATTCACAAGGAAGTGGCGGGGTCCTGGGGTGCCCCGTCTGACCTGCCCATCGGGGATTAAGCTGGGGAGGGCAGCCAGCTGTGGACGTGGGCATCCAGATGCCTCCACCAGGAAGGCAGAGCCGGAGGCTGCTCGGGGGGCCTGGTTTCGGGTGTTTGCACTACCCAGAGGGGCTGGTGTTGGGCAGGCACCAGGGATGGGACCTCGGTGGTCCAGGCAGGTCCTTCTTGAGGGCAGGGAGGCAGAGGCTGTGGGTTAGATGGGGTTGGAACCCAGATCAGGGTCTGCTAGTCCTCGTGCTGTCAGAGAGGGGCAAAGACAAGGAAAGAAAGTTCCAGGCTTCCCTGAAGGCTCCCTGGCCTCCTGGCAAAGATCTTGGGAAGGACCCCACAATCACTCCCTCACCACATGGGTGGCGTGGTGACCCTCACTTCCGCAACCTGTTCCATTTAAGAACTTGGCTTCTCAAATGCAGCTGAGAGAGGGAAGCCCGTGGTGGGTGGAGGGGAGGGACGGGTGTGCCCACCGCTGCCTCCCTCAGGGACACACTGGAGGGGGTGTTTCTGTCCCAGCTCCACGGACAGAGGGGGCACAGGTCCCAGTTAAGCAGAGGACTGAGGGGCACGTCCACCGTGCCTTTCCCAGCCTCTGGCTGGCCATTTGGTGACCTACTAAGCACCTACTGTGTGCACACACCACTCCGGAAACAAGCCAAGTCCTACCTGTGGGTTTAGCCGTGAGGGCCGGGTGCCCCCGGCCATCTGGAGGCCCGCACGGCCGCTGCCACCTCCCTCAGTGGAAACCAGCTGGGGAGCCCTTCCCAGAGGAAGCCGGACCGCTGAGGGGCAGCCGCCACCTCCCAGCCCGGCAAGCAGGACGCCGCTGAGTCCCCTTGCCCTGTGCCCGCCGGGCAGGCCCTCCGGGCGGCTCCTCAGCCACGGTGCCGTGTGCTGTGCCGGCTGCTTCAGCCGCGCTCTCGCCTCTGACGTCCCCGCAGGTGTGACGAGTACATCACGCAGCTGGACGAGATGCAGCGGCAGCTGGCCGCCGCGGAGGACGAGAAGAAGACGCTCAACTCCCTGCTGCGCATGGCCATCCAGCAGAAGCTAGCACTCACCCAGCGGCTGGAGCTGCTCGAGCTGGACCACGAGCAGACCCGGCGGGGCCGCGCCAAGGCCGTCTCCAAGGCCAAGCCGGGCACCCCGAGCGTAAGTCACACCTGCGCCTGTGCCGGCGACAGGGCCGAGGGCGCCGGGCTCACCACCCAGGTGCTCTGCGGCGAGAAGTATAACGTCTGCTGCGATTAGGGCCACGGGGCCTCAGCTGCAGCAGCCCTGCGGCACGCGTCTGCCCGCTTCACCTGCACTAACCCAGCAGCAGTGGGACCGCGGTGCTAGGCTGCTCTTAACCGTGACTAATGCACAGAGGGAAGGATTTGGCGAGGCACCGTGCTGTTCCACCCGGACCCTGTGAGCTCTGTGTCTGTTCTCGCCCCTCGGGACCGCCCCTCACAGCAGCCACTGGGGGGGAGGGGTGTCAAGGTGGCTCAGAGCGCGTGTCCTCGCGCCCAGTGGTTCCCAGCGTGCCAGTGGCTCCTGCGGGGGCGGGGGAGGGGGCAGAACCCGAGCTGAACTTGCATGTCGCTGCACGTGTCTGATGCGGTGGTGCCGCCCCAGCACCAGAAGCAGTTAGAGGCCCCGGCCCGAGCGCCAGGCACAGCGTCAGAGGCCGCGCGGAGCTGGGCCCAGTTCACAGAGGATTTCTTTGCGGTTTATGCGGCATCTCACTGCACATCACGTTGGGGACACAGTTCCCTCCCCCACGCCCAGAGGAACAGCAGCCCCGAGCCCGGCGTCCTCCAGCCCGGGCGCAGGGCACTGCTCGTGGGGCACGGAGCTTAGCAGGCTCAGCCTCTCTTTCTGAGGCTGCACACCTGTCTGCTGACCTGCAAGGTGACACACTGGCAGGCCCAAGGCCTGGGGTTTTTTCGTGAGAAAAACTTAAGTGCCTGGCCAGACCCTTTCCTCACAGGAAGCCCATCCTTTCGTACTTAGGGCGTCCCAGGCTTCAGGGCAGGTTTCTTCACTCTGTGCTCATCATCAGACCCCCCAGAACAGGGCTCTGGAAACCCCCAGCGGATGGGCTGAAACGAGGGACTCCCACATCTGTAGCCAGAGCCCAGCCTAGGGTGGGGAGGGAGCCTCGCACGGCCCTGGGCCTGTTCCAGGACGCACGCAGGAGGTGGATGGTTCCCCCTCATCAGTGCGGGTCCAGACGTGGGACGGGCAGCAAAGGCAGCTGTAGGACTTTCCGCTCCCAGAGCCGGCATCCACAGGCCACCTGAGGTCCCATGTTCAGAAGCAGGACTTGGCAGTATTTTTCTCCCTGTTGCCCGTAGGGGCTGCAGGACACGAGGCTTCCGTCTTTTCCCTGAAGGGCTCCTTGCCTGATCTCTCCATGGCCCAGAGGGGGTTTGCGTTGCCCCTCATACAGCTCTCGCCTCGGTTCCCAAGCGCGTCTCAGTCCCCACCAGACCAGGCACTGCACAGACCGCCTTGGGTTTGGCAGACAACTGGAGTGGGGAGAGGTGGGCCAGGCCGCGCCAGCCCCCAGCTCCAGGCTGCTTTGCTGATGGGCTGTCGGGTCTCGGATCCCCCTCCTGCCCTGAGGAGGGGTCAGGCCGTCCCCTCTGCAAGCAGGTCTTCCAGGGGCATGGCTGCCTGACGGCCCCGCACGCCGCTTCCGCCCGCCACCGAGCCTGGCTCGCAGCTTCCCTTCATACTTGCAGGGGTCTTCCTGAGGCACCGGGGCTGGTGGCCCTCCCTAACACATGCAGGTCTTCTCTGCCGCCGACTAACGCACCACGTCCACGTCATCACCCAGCCAGAGCTTCGGTTGTCTGAGTGGTGCCGGTTCTAACGCTGTCTTGTTTTCTCCCGTTTTCAGCTGTAGAGTAGCTGCCGGGAGGACTCGGCCACGGCCCTGTCACACTGCAGCCCCTCCCCCTCCCGTGGGCCCACGCAGAGGAAGGAAGGGCAGCCTAAAAGTCCACTTAGAAACGTGTTTGGATATGCCACTGCAGTTCTTTCCAAGTTAGCATTCCCTGAGTGTTTAATGGCAGAGGCAAGAAAGCTTTAATGTTGAGAATGCCACCAGCTGCTGCCTGGAAGGCCTTTGCACAGCGCCGAAGAACCCGCCTGGACAGCGGCCACCAGGCTCGCTCAGAAACCCGCTAGAAACGCTCGACACCGGGCCTCCCTGCTACAGATGCCCTTTCTTATCCGATCAACCTGTGCACTTTTGATATTTTGATATTATATTTGCTTCCTTAATCCCTCCCATAGAGACAGTCTCAGATGCCGTGGTCTGTCTCGTGGTCCTGTAGCTCTGTCTTAGCTCCCGCCGTGTTGATCTGACATCAGCACGTGGCACGGATGTGTTTTCCTAGCGTGTAGCTCTAGACTGTTTAGATGAAGGCCTCGACCCGGCAAGGAGCTCAGCGAGACGTATCCACGCTGTGGTTCAGCAGCCTTTTAGATTGTACGGCATTACGGTTCATGTTTGAAATTACAGATTTTAAATGCCATGTTCATTAAGAAATCCAGGGTATTTCCGATTCTGGGGTTTTTCATATCGTATTATTATTATTCTTAGGAATAGTTCAATGTAACAAGAAGAAAACTTGACCTTTGCTCTGGTTAAACAGTAATAGGCACTTGAAAACAATAAGATAAATTATTGAGTGAGTAGTGTTACCTACAGCTTCCAGAATCTTCTGGGTTTTAGGACGTTGTGAAGCATGACTGATTAACAGAATTTTATACAACTGTACCAGTGAAATTCCAAATTGGAATTGTTTTGTTACTCTGGTTGTTGTGCCAAGTTGTGGTACACTTAGAAAATCCTGCAGTCGTCGATTTTTAGGGTGTTCCATTTCGACGCCTTTTTGTTAGTAATCATTTGCCGTAGTGCCTTCATCAGTTAAGGGAGGTGTCCCAGCGCAGTTTATGCTCTCAAATGGACGGTGAAGAGCTAGTTGGGAACGTTGAAGGCCAGGGTGGACCAAGAGGTGTGAACGGGCGCGCACCTTCATACCCGAACCTGGGCATCTTCATTGAGGGAAAGAAAACAGCAATTGTGCAAAATTCTGTTAGTCAGTGATTCTTTACCGTGCAGATCCTTGCAAATTCAGGGGCTGAGAAAAGGAGAGTGAACACACACACGTTGAGTGTGCTTTGGGAACCAAATGGACCTGAGGGACAAGCTAAGCAAGCGGTGCGAACAACATGCCACGTTTGTGAAGAGCGGGAGGCAGGGGCCTCGTGCGGTGGGGTGAGGGCTAGCCATAGTATTCTTTGCAAATGTGAGGAAGAGACGTTCTGTATTCTCTTGCTTGGTGTAACTAATCACTGTTAATTTCAGGAAACAGAACTCGACAAAGCCCCTCAGCAATCCAGGGCTGCGTCCTGTCGGGTTTGCTGAGGGAGGCTGTGCTTATGGTAAAATTGGTACTCACAGAGGAAGAAAGTGTCCTCTCTCCTCCAAAATAAAGGACAAATTACAGTAATGTGTAAGTAGCAAGAAGGAAGAATTCTGTTTCCTGGAATAAGCATTTCTTATTCCTAGTTGTAGGGACCCCTATTTTTACCTTCTATTACAGTGTTGATTCATAAGAAATAATGTTACATTTACGATAACTTCATCTGTATGGGATATTTATTTGCAATGATGTCTGAGTACTGTATTTTTTTCTGTGCATTACCTTAGTGTCAGAATGTTGTCTTTATTTTAAGATCATGTGCATGTTCTCCTGCCAAGGAACCTTTACACAGACCCAAACAGACAAACAAAAAATGCCTTCCGATTCTGAGAAAATGAGGCAGAGCGTGGAAAAGGAGTAGGAAGGAGCAATCAGTCTCAACTTGGGACACGGGCGTATGGCACGAATGTCTGCAAAGCCAGTGCACATAGGAACAGTGGGCCTGGTAAGGGTCATGTCGGTAGGACCAATAAATAAAGAATGATACAAAAGCACAAAACTTGTCCTCTGTGGCTGCTCTGACCCCTGCTCCAGGTGACTGTGGGTCCAGCAGTGCATCATAATTCCAGTTTCTAAAACAACAAAACCAGCCTGTCAGTAACTCTGGTGGTAGGAACTGGAAGCAGCCTGGGGCCCATTTCAGGAGGTGCGGATGGGAGGGGAGGTGTGGGATGCCTCCGGCAATGGGCCTCAGGTGTCGTGAGCACCCAGCAGTGTGACAGTGAGAGCACGTTGCCTTCATACTGTCCTCTCTCAAGAAGCAGAGATTTGGATAATGTGGGGGTCCTTTGCTGTTCAGACTCTTGCTCTGTGAACTCAGGGATGAATAGATTCAGGCAACAAGAGTTACCTGTTTGTCAGTGCAAAGCCACATTCACCTGTAGGAATGTCTGTGAGGCATGCTGAGCTTGTTCTGGTGTGAGCTTAGGGGCAAATCCTGGCTTAGGGGACAGGAGGTCCTGGGGACACTCTGGCACTGTTCCTTCTGACAGCCTCAGTCAGGCCCGAGGGACTGCCTAAACCTCAGGGCAGCTGTCTGAGGCCAGGGTCTCACTGCCCTGGCCTCTTCCCAGGACACCTCCCTCCACCCAAGGTCTCCCCTTGCCTTGTGGTCGCTGCAGGGCTCCTTCCTCTCGTGATGCGTGTCTGGCTTGAGTAGCGGTTGCTGGAGCCCGTGTTCAGCTTGAAACCTCTTGAAAGAGACTCGTTTTTCTAACTCAGTAGCTAAAAGGAATCTTCCTCCCCCGCTGGCCTGTACCGCCCCACCAGGCCCCTGGAAGAGGTGGAAAAGACAGCCTGTCACAGATCTGGAGGAGGAGGGGATGCTGTCAGTGGGCTGGGCGGGGCAGGTGCCATCCAGCCCTTGGCTGCCACCATGTGAGTGGCGCACTGTGGCTTTGGCCCAGTCCCATCATTTGGGGTGTTTGACTCACGAGCACAGATGCTGAGGCCTTCTCTACCCCCCAGCATGCTCTGGGTTCTTGCACACATGGTTCTTCATTTCGGGGATGGAGTGGGAGTCTCCTGAATGGGGGGAGAGCGGGGTCATTTGGCCCTGAAAGGCCTCCTGCTTGGCCTTCCCTTCCAAGAGGGAATGTCTCCATTCCCACCTCCTCCTCTGCCTGCAGTGGTTTTCACTCCAACCCCTTATAGGTTCCCAGAGCTGGAAACAACAGCGTCAATTTGGAGATAGACCTTTGGTTGAATTGCCCCCTTTCAATGGTTCACTTACCCTGACTGAGTCCTCTCTGAGCCTCAGTTTCCCCTCTGTAGGTTAGGGATGAGAGTTCTTGACTCAGAGGTTGTGAAGTTTTATCAAGCTGTAGGTAACTGGCATGCGGGGTGCTCAACAGCTGACTTGATGTTGTGGTTCTTGCTGCCACTGTCGTCATTCCCAAGGTCTGGGGTACCAGGCCATGGAGCTAGGCCTTTGTCCTGTAGGAGTGTGAATTTAAGTCAGCTTTTAACCAAAGTGTAATTTGCATTTAGGAAATGGCACCCATCCCAACGTACAGTCACCATTTGCACACAGTGAACACAGACTGTGTGACGCCCCACCCCTTTTTGTGCTTTTTGAGGCAGACAATAATGGGATGCCTCTGTCTGCCAGTCCTGGTGAGGCTCTAGGCTGCCTCCCACCCTTAGGAGCCTCCTGGGACAACAGATGTGCCTATATCCTGATGTCACCTGGCATGGGATCTTGGCAGGGATGGGCTGCCATCAGATTTTCCTCTGCACATGCTCACCTTTCAGCTGTGTACAAACAGTGGAGCCGGAAGGGCTGTGTGTTACCATTTTGTCAGATTTCTTATGGGCAAGCACACTGGCTCTTGTGAGTTCATCTCATTCATCTGTGAACCTTGCTTTTGTAAACTCAGGTCCCTAAGGTGGGGGGATTGCCCCCCCCACACACACACAGTTTCTCCTAAGCAGGAAAAGGCGATGCCACAGTACCTCACCCACAGAAAAGGTCTCCCTGCATTGATACCGTGAGCACACCCCTTCCTGGGCCTCCTAGGAGGGGAGAACAGTAGAATCACACACACACGTGCCCTTTTGTTCATCTTACTCTCAAGTAGGGAATTAAGATTTATTTACCCAAAAGTGTTCAGAAGAGTGCAAAAAAGAGTGCAAAAAATGCAAACTGCACACTCTGCACCCACCATCTGCATGAGAAGCAAACGAGGGCAGCCCTCAGAGCTCTCATGCACTTTGCACCCACTCTTCCTCCCAGGGGTAACCCTGAGTCTGTCTGTGCAGGCCGCTTGTGTGTATTTCTGTACATTATGAAGTGGAAGCATACAACAGAGATCCAGAGCTGGGTTAGATTTACTTGCCAAATTGCACTGATTTCTCACACCATGATTGAGCTGTGCAGTCATACGTGACTTGCTTTAGAGTCAAAGATCTATCCATTGAGTGTAAAAGAATGGAAAAAAAATATTCCATGCAAACAGTAGCCACATTACTAATATCAGACAAAACAGACTATAGGACAAAAATTGCTTTGAGAGACAAGGAAGGACATTATATAATGATAAAATAGTGAATTTACCAAGAAGATACAACAATAATAAATACATATGCACCAAACAACAGAGCCCAAAAACATACTAAGCAAAAACTGCCAGAATTGAAGGGAGAAGTAGTTCAACAAGAGTTGGAGACTTCGGTGCCTCACTTTCAATAATAGAACAAGACAGTATCAAAAAGGAAGAAAAATACCAGGTCAATAAACCAGCTAGACCTAATACATCTACGAAACATGCCAACCTACAACAGAATACACATTAAGTGCATATGGAACATTCTCCAGGATAAACCACATATTAAACCACAAAACAATAAAGACTGAAATCATACAAAATGTTGTTTAATGATAATAGAATAAAATTAGGAATAATGAAATGTGGGAAATTCACAAATATGTGTAAATGAAACTAAATCAGTGGGTCAAAAAAGATATAAAGAAGAAAAGAAGATTTCAAATCAATAACCTAATCTCTCACCTTAAGAAAATAGAAAAATAGAATGAACTAAGCCCAAAGCAACCAGAGGAAAGGAAATGGTAAGAATTAGAGTGGAGATAATGAAATAAGCAGTGGGAGGAAATGGAGAAAATCAACAAAACCAAAAGTTGTTTCTTTGAAAAGATCAGCAAAACGACAGACCTTTACACCAGGAAAAAAGAAGACATTACTAAAAATCAGAAGTGAAAATGGGAAAATTACTTCTGATTTTACAGAAATATAAAGGATTACAATGAAGTACTATGAATATTTATACACCAAGAAATTAGATAACCTAAACCCGAATGCATCAGAGAGAAGGAAACAGTAAATAGAGCAGAGATGAGTGAATAGAAAAATCAATAGAAAAAAATGAAAACAAAATTATTTCCCAGAAAAGATCGACAAATTGACAAACCTTTAGCCAGACTGAAAAACAGAGAAGATTCAAATTACTGACCTCAGTGATGAGAGTGGGGATATTATGACCTGACATGAATAAAAAGGATTATGGGATATTATAACAATGCTAACAAATTAAATAACCTTGGTGAATTGACAGGTCCCTTGAATCACACCAACTACAAAAGCTGACTCCAGAGAAAATAATCGTACAGACATATAATGAGAAATTGAATCAGTACTCAAAAATCTTCCAACAGAACCTCTAGTTTCTGGTCCAACTTGTAAGGAGCTTAGAAGTCATCACTTTGTCCTAATAGGTGAAAAGCTGAACAAATTAAAAAAACAACCACCCTTCTTGGATCTGTCAGAGAAGTGAGGTCACAGGGCACAGCACTGTCCCTAAAATTAGAGAGACAGATACAGAGAATTACAATTTACCAGAGCAGTTAAAACCTGGGCAGGAAAACCTGAACTGTAATTGGCAGGTTGTTGAAAGCTCAGTGTGGTGAGAAGTCTGGGAGGGCCCAGTTGTAGAGGACCCTCACACTTATGTGAGTTTTACCTCCAGCAGCTCTACGGGATTCTCACTGAATGTCAGAGAAAAGTCCCTTCAGTCTTCTGTCCAGCAACAGAAGGGGAAAAGGAGCCATTTTGAAATATCCTAGAGTATTCTGCCTTAACCAGCCTTCCTCTCAGGACAAACTATTTTACCATGGCCTAAGAGACCTGGGGGAAGGGAAATACCCAATTTCAGTCCCCTTTGGCCATACTTTACTACTTGAAGGGGTGAAAAGAAGAAAAAAAACTGAAGCACTTGTGAAGTTCAGAGCCCAGGGGCACAGGTGCTCTAATCACAGACCTAGTTGTAGGCCTGTAGATTCCTTCCTCTTCCGTGCACCTTACCAGTATATTACTAAGGCATATTTACACTGGTTCCCTTTCCCCAGTACATCGCAGTCTGGCTTTCAACAAAAACTTAATAAAACTAAGAAAAAAAAAAACCAAACACACTCTATAAAATAGAGTATCAGAACCAGATTCAGATATAGCAGAAATGTTGGAAGTATCAGACCAGGAATTTAAAATAACTTTGACTAATATTGAGGGCAGTAATGGAAAAAGTAGACACCATGTAGAAACAGATGGATAATATAAGCAGAGAGATGGAATGATCTAAGAAAGATTTTTAAAATTCTGGAAGTAAACCACTGTGACAGTAATATAGAAAGCCTTTGATGAGCTCATTAATAGATTGGACACAGCTGAGGAATCGCTGAGCTTTGGGATATGTCAGTACAAATGTCCAAAACTGAAGAGCAAAGAGAAAAAAAGAATGGGGGGAAAAAACATAAAAGAATATCACTGGGACAACAACAAAAGGTGTATCATAGGCACAGAGGAACACCAGCAGGAAAAGAGAAAGGAAGAGAAGCAACATTTGAACCGACAGAATTTCCCCAAATTGTTGAACACCAAACTACAGCTCAGAGAACATTGAGGGGGACAATACCAAAATAAAATTACACCTAGGCACATGATATTCAAACTACAGAAAAATACAAAGAACCTTAAAAGAAGCCAGAGAGGTTGGGGTGGGGGGGTTGGGGGAGTTTTACCTGTAGTGAGTGAAAGATAAGAGTTACATCTGACTTCTTAGAAACCATGCAAGCAAGAAGAGAGTGGAGCGAAATATTTAAACTGGTTAGAGAGAGAGAGAGAAAAGACCAACCTATAATTCTGTATCCTGTGAAATTATCTTTGAAAAATAAGACATAAAGACGTGCTCAGACAAAAATTGAGGGAGTTTGTTGCCAGTACACCTTCCTTGCAATAAATGTAAAAGTTTTTCAGAGAGAAGGAAAATTTTATAGGTCAGAAACTCAGAACTACATAAAGAAAGGAAGATTGTTAGAGTAGGGATAAATAAAGGTAAAGTAAAAACCCCCTTGTACTTCTTGTTAATTGATCTAATAAGTTTGTTCAAAATAATAATAGTAATTTTTTTATGATTACAGCATATGCATAAGTGAGATGAAAGCAATGCTACAAGGGACAGGAGGTAAGAATTAGGAATATTTTGTTATTATAAGGTACTTACACTAATTGAGAAGTGGCATGGTGTTATTTGAAAGTGGACTTGCATAGGGGTGCCTGGGTGGGCTCAGTTGGTTAAGCATCCGACTCTTGATTTCGGCTCAGGTTATGATCTCAGGGTTGTGAGATTGAGCCCTGCACCAGGCCCCATGCTGGGCGTGGAGCCTGCTTAAGATTCTCTCTCCCTCCCTGCCTCCCCTCCTAAAAAGAAAGAAAGAAAGTGCAGCCAGTTAATTGTAAATATATTTTGCAAACTGTTGGGCAGCAACTAAAAAAAGTTTAAAAAAAGCATAACTGATATGCTAAGAAAGAAGACAAAAATCGGAACAAAGAACAAGGGCAATGATTAAGAGTCAGTGGTCTAAATACACCAATTAAAAGGCTGTCAGAGTGGATCAATAAACAAAGACCTTACTGTATGCTGTCTGCAAGAAACCCATTTTAAATAAGCAGACACACATAAATTAAAAGCAAAGGGATGGAGAAAGATATGCCATCCGAACACTAATCCAAAGAAAGTGGGTGTAGCTATATTAATTTCAGACAGGGCAAACTTCAGAGCACAGAAAGTTAAAGGATAAAGATGGGTTTTATATAAGGACAGAGGGATCGGTTCTCCAAGAATATAACAATCCTTAACGTGTAATCCCCTAACAACAGGGCGTCTGACTATGTGAGGCAAAAGCTAGTAGAATTGCAGGAAGAACTTGAGAAATCCACTATTATAGTTGGAGATTTGAATACCGCTCTATGAGAAATGGACAGATCCGATAGGCATAAAATCAATAAGGAATAGTTGAACTCAACAGCACCATCAGTCAACTGCTTATAATTGGCAACTGTAGACAGCTTCATCCACCAACCTCCTTCTGAAGCTCACATGGAACATTTACCAAGATCGATTACATTCTGGTCCCCAGAAGACATTAACACATTTAAAAGAATAGAAATCATGCAATGTATGCTCTCAAAACACATGAAATTCAACTAGATTCAATAATAAGATAGTTGGAAAATCCCAAAATACATGGGGATTTGCAATAGACTGCATATGTCTTCCAAAATTCATGTTGGAACTTAATCCTGAACGTGACAGTATTGGGAGGTGGGGCCTTTGGGAAGTGAGAACGTCATGAGGGTAGAGTCCTGATGAGTCAGATTAGTGCTTTATAAAAGAGGGCCAAGAGAGCTCGCTTTTTGCTGTGTCCTCAGTGGGCTCTCACCAGACACTGAATCTGCTGGCACTTCCCTGCCTTGGACTTCCCAGACTCCAGAACTATAAGAAATAAATTTCTGTTGTTAAAAGCACCCAATTCTATGTTATTTTTTTAAAATAAGGAAATCTCTTCAAGGGTACTATACTCTCAATAAAAACAAACAAACAAATGAAATCCCCTCATTAAAACTTACTGTGCTTTGATACTGTATCTAAAAAGTCATTGACATGTCCAAAGTCATAGATTTTCTTTCATGTTACCTTGTAGGAGTTTTATGGTTTTGTGTACAGTCCATGAAAGATATAATTGATAAGCTGAACTTCATTAAAATTAAATGGTTAAAAGAATTAGAGGATAAGCGACAGCCTTGGAGAAAATATCTGGTAAAGGGCTATTATCCAAAGTATACAGACAATTAAAACTCAACAATAAGAAAACATAGGATACTAAACGATCAGTGGGTCAATGAGGAAATCAAAGAGGAAATAAAAAATACATGCAGATAAATGAAAATGAAAATGAAAACACAATGGTCCAAAATCTTTGGGATACAGTGAAAGCAATTCTAAGAGTGAAATTTAAAATAATACAAGCCCACCTCAAGAAATAAGAAAAATCTCAAATGAACAATCTGATCTTACACTTAAAAGAACTAGAAGAACAAACAAAGCCCAAAGTTAGAAGAAATAATAAAGCGCAGAAAAGATGAAATAGAGACCCAAAAAAATCCCAAACCAAAAAACAATAGAAAAGATCAAAGAAACCAAGAGCCGGTTCTTTGAAAAGAGAAACAATCTTGATAAACCTTTAGCAAGACTCATCAAGAAAAAAAAAAGACTCAAATAAATTGAAGAGAAGTAACAACCGATATCACAGAAATACAATGGATTATATAAGACTACTATGGAAAATCATGTGCCAACAAATTGGACAACCTAAAAGAAATGGATTCTTAGAAACATATACTCTTCCAAAACTGAATCAGGAAGAAATACAAAATATGAACAGACCAATTGCTGGTAGTGAAATTGAATCAGTTAACCAAAAACTCCCAACAAGCAAAAGTCCAGGACCAGCTGGATTCATAGCTGACTTCTACCAAACATTTAAAGAAGAGTTAGTTCTCCTCAAACTATTCCAAAAAATAGAAGAGGAAGGAATGCCTCTAAATACATTCTAGAAGGCCAGCACTACCCTGACACCAAAACCAGTCAAAAACACTACAAAAAGAAAACTACAGGCCAATAACACTGCTAAACATAGATGCAAAAATCCTCAACAAAGTATTCACAAACTGCATCCAACACTACATTAGAAGGATTATACACCATGATCAAGTGTGATTTATTCTGGGGATGGGAGGGTGGTTCAATATTTGCAAATCAATCAATGAGATACATGGAGTTAAAACAATAAAAATCATGATCATCTGAATAGTTGCAGAAAAAGCACTTGACAAAATTCAACATCCATTCATAATAAAGACTGTCAACAAAGTGGGTTTAGAACATACCTCAAGATAATAAAGGCCATATATGAAAAACCCACCACTAACATCATACTCAATGGTGAAAAGATGAAAGCTTTTCTTCTAAGGTTAAGAACAAGACAAAGATATCCACTCTCACCACTTTTATTCAACATTAGTACTGTTAGTCCTAGCAACAACAGACGAGAAAAAAAAATAAAAGACATACAAGTTGGTAAGAAAGAAGTAAAACTTTTGCTATTTGCAGATGACATGATAGTATATATAGAAAACCCTGGGGTGCCTGGCAGATTCAGCTGGTAGAGCATGATCCCAGGGTCATGAGTTCAAGCCCCATGTTGGGCATGCAGCATCCTTAAAGGAAAAACAACCCTAAAGATTCCATTAAAAAACTATTAGAAGTAATAAGTGAATTCATAAGGTTGCAGGGTACAAAATTACTACACAGAAATTTGTTGCATAATAACAAAGTAGCAGAAAAAGAAATTAAGATGATTTCATTTACAATTGCACCAAAAAAAAAAAAAAAAAAAAGATTTCAAATACCTAGGAATAAACTTAACCAAGGAGGTGAAAGACTTGTACTCTGAAAACTTTAAAACATTTATGAAGAAAAATTGAATGGGGCGACTGGGTAGCTCAGTTGGTTAAGCGTCTGCCTTTGGCTCAGGTCATGATCTTGGTCGGGGTCCTGGGATCGAGCCCTGTATTGGGCTCCCTGCTCAGTGGGGAGTCTGCTTCTCCCTCTCTCTCTGCCTCTTCTCTGCCCCCCACCCCCCACTCATGCACATGCACATGCACTGTCTTCTAAATAAATAAATGAAATATTTTTTAAAAATTTAAGATGACACAAATGAAAAGATAGTCCATTCTCATGGATTGAAAGAATATTGTTAAAATGTCCATAGTACCCAATAGTATCTACAGATTCAATGCAATCCCTATCAAAATACCAACAGCATTTTTCACAGAACTAGAACAAATAATCCTAAATTTTGTATGGATCCACAGAAGACCCTGAATAGCCAAAGCAATCGAGAAAAAAGAACAAAGCCTGAGGTATCACAATCCCAGACTTTGAGATATACTACAAAGCTACAGTAATCAAAGCAGTATTGTACTGGCACAAAAATGACCGATGGATCAATGGAACAGGATAGAGACCCCAGAAATAAAGCCACACATATATGGCCAATTAATCTACAACAAAGGAGACAAGAATATACAATGGGGAAAAGACATTATCTTCGATAAATGGTGTTTATTGGACAACTACATGCAAAAGAATGAAACTGAGTCACTATCTTATATCACACACAAAAATAAACTCAAAATGGATTTAAGACTTTAATGTCGGACCTGAAACCATAAAACTCCTACAAGAAAACACAGTAATTTCTCTTATATTGGTCTTAACATTTGTCTAGTTATATCTCCTAAGGCAAGGGAAACAAAAGCAAAATTAAATGATTGATACTACACAAAAATAAAAAGCTTTTGCACAGCAAAGAAAACCATCAACCAAGCAAAAAGGCAACCTACTGAGTAGGAGCAGGTATTTGCAAATGATATAACCAATAAGGGGTTAATATCTAAAATATATAAAGAACTTAGGGGTACCTGGGTGGCTTAGTCAGTTAAGCGGCTGCCTCTGGATGTCAGCTCAGGTCATGATCTCAGAGTCCTGGGATTGAGCCCCACGTTGGGCTCTGCACTCAGTGGGGAGTTTGCTTGAGGATTCTCTCCCTCTCCCTCTGCCCCTGCCCTCGCTCTCTCACTCTCTCTTTCTCTTTCTCAAATCTTAAAAAAAAAAAAAAAACTTATACAACCCCACATCAAAAAAGCCCCAAGTAATCCTATTAAAAATGGGGAGAGGACCCAAAAAGACGTGTTTCCAAAGAAGACATGCAGATGTCCAACAGACACATGAAAAGATGCTCAACATCACTAATTATAATGCAAATCAAAATCACAATGAGATATCACCTCACACCTGTCAGGATGGCTAGAGTAAAATATATAAGAAATAATAAGTGTTAGCAAGGATGTGAAGAAAGAGGAACTGTTGTGCACTGTTGGTGGGAATGTAAATTGGTGCAACCTCTATGGAAAACAGTATGGAGGTTCCTCAAAAAATTAAAAAGAGAAATACCATAGGATCAAGAATTCCTCTGCTGGGTGTTTACCCAAAGAAAGCAAAAACAATAATTCTAAAAGATATATGCACCACTATGTTTATTGCAGCATTATTTACAATAGCTAAAATATGGAAGCAACTGAAGTGTCCATGGATAGATGAATGGATAAAAAAAGTGTTGTGTAGGGGCACCTGACTGGCTCAGTTGGAAGAGTGTGCAACTCTTGACCTCAGGGGTCTGAGTTCAAGCACTACATCGGGCATGAAGCTTACTTTAAAAAACAAGGTGTGGCATATGTATATACAATGGAGTATTACTCAGCCATGAAAAAGGAGATCTTGCCATTTTGACAACATGCGTAGACCTAGAGCGTGTTAGATTAAGTGAAACAAGTCAGACTGAGAAAGACATGCCATATGATTTCACGTATATGTGGAATCTAAAAAGCAAATGAACAAAACCAAACAAAAAGCAGAAACAGACCCATAAATACAGAGAAGAAACCAGTGGTTGCCAGCAGGGAGAGGGTGGGAGGATGGGCAAAATGGGTGAAGGGTAGTGGGAGATACAGGCTCTCAATTATGGAATAAATAAGTCATGGGGATGAAGGGCACCGCACAGGGAATATAGTCAGTGGTGCTGTAATACTGTGGTGTGGAGACAGACGGCAGCTACCCTCGTGGTGAGCACAGCATAACGTATAGAGTTGTTGAATATGTTATGTTGGACACCTGAAACTAATGTAACATTGGGTCAACTATACTTCAAAAAAAAAAAAAAAAAAAAAGAAGGAAAACTGACCCAATTTAAAAATGGGTATAATAACTGAGCCTGGGTGGCTCAGTTGGTTAAGCGACTGCCTTCAGCTCAGGTCATGATTCTGGAGTCCCTGGATCGAGTCCCACATCGGGCTCCCTGCTCAGCAGGGAGTCTGCTTCTCCCTCTGACCCTCCCCCTTCTCATGCTCTATCTCATTCTCTCAAATAAATAAATAAAATCTTAAAAAAAAAAAGGGTGTAATATATGAACAGACACTTCACCAAAAAAAAGATATATAAGATGGCTCATAAACTATGAAAAGATGCTCAACATCATATCGCATTAGAGAATTGCAAATTAGAACGAGATACCACTACACACCACTAGATTTTGGCCATCCAGTATCTGTATGATACCGTAAGAGTGGATCCCTGTCATTATACATTTGTCCAGATCCATAGAATGTACAACACTAAGAGTGAACCCTAATGTAACCTATGGACTTAGGTGATTATTATGGGTCAATGCAGTTTCATCAGTTGCAACACGTGTACCACTCTGGTGGGGATGTTGGTAAAGGGGGAATCTGTGCATGTGCAGAATAATCTGTGGCATTGATAAACCCTGAATTGGGGATAGAGATTATGAGTGGGGGTGGGATTAGTGGGTACATAGAGGACTCAGCAGCATTTATGTAATGTTTTACTTCTCAAATATGAAAAGGATCTGGAATAAATATGGCCAAATGATAAGTTCTGGTAGCACTGGGCACAGGATAAAAAAAATAGACAAAACAGACTACAGGCAATTTCCAGGAAGGGAGGGAGGTTCTGCTCCCCAACCTCCTATTTGCTTCAGTTTCAATAAAAACAACTGTTGGGAGTTTTCCCTCCCTGCCCAAGGGTGAGGGCCCTGACCCAGAGGGTCCTTAGACCATGGCCTGTGTTGGGGAGCGGTGGCCCCTGCTGCAGGCATTCCATGGTTGAAGCAGGACTGGCTCCAGACAGACCTCAGCTGGCTGGCTGGGGCGGACCGTGGTGGGTGCTGTCCAAAGGCTAGGACCTCCCTAGGTCAGGTGCGGGCCACCTCAGCAGTCTGCTCAGTCATAAGTGAGGTCTTGCCTCAGTGCCATCCAAAGGTGCGTGTGGGCGTGGCCTCATCACACTAAGATCTGGGGTTGGAGGCAAGGGTTTACTTTATACTGGATAGTCCCCCCCCACCACCAGCATGTGTTTGCATCACTGCCTGCTGAGTGAACTGAAGTCCCTTCTGCTCCCATAAAGGAGGGTCTGGGTCCCTGACCCTGTGCTCCTCCCTCGCTCTGGTGACACCAGGCTACACAGGGCCAGAGATATGTACTTTAACATGGAATATCACCACCCAGGTGCCACAAGACAGCAAGGAAACTGTGCCTGAGCGTCTCCTCTCCAGACTGGCTGAAGAATTCCAAATGGCTTCCTGGGCTTGGGGCCTTGACCTCCCTGTCCCAGGTGGGCCCGCAGGAAACTCTGCATTCAGGGACTACTCCCTCCAGCCTGTCCTCACCACCGCAGTAACAGGACTTTCTTCTCTGCAAATGAACCCATCCTTTCTTCACTGTATACCCTCTCCCCCACTGGAAGGTAACTTCCTGTGACCTCACGACCTCTGTGGTGTCTGCCATGCCCAGCTCCCAGTAAGTGCCTGTCCAATGAATGTAGCAATGAGTGAATGAATGAATGAAACCAAAATCTGGATTTGGCTCTGGGCATGCATGTATACACCCATGTTTTGCCACACCAGGTGCACATGGTGTCTCTCAGGGATGATCCCACCACAGGCTGTCAGTGATGAGGAGTGATGGGCAAGAAGAATGAATGTAGCCAACTATCACACAAGAATGGAATAAGCAGGCAGGGTCTGTTCTGGGGACTTGGAGAGGCAGAGACAAAGGCCATGCTTGGGAGGATGGGTAGCCTGCAGGCTGGGGTGGGGGAGTTGATGCATTTACCTGCTTTAGTGGGTGCGGAGGAGGAAAGGCTGTATGCATCCAGCTGGGCATCCTGGCCTTTGTGTTCTACCAGTGCGTGCAGCAGGTGGGTAACTCAGCAACCCAAAGAAGGGTCAGGAAACCTTGCAGCCTGCCTGGGGTTCAAATGCAGCGCAATTGGAACTGTCCTTCATTTGGGCCACAGGGACCCTGGGCCAAGTCAGAAAGATATTCCATGCAAATAGTATCCAAAAGAAAAGAATGCCTATAACTAATCTCAGACAAAATAGTCTTTAAGTGCAAAAAGCTTACAAGAGACAAAGAAGGACATAATATATTAATAAAAGGCTCAATATGGCAAGAAGATCTGACCGTTGAAAGCATTTATGCACTGAATGACGATCATCAAAATATATAAAGCAAAAACAAATTTTTAAATACAGAGAACAAACTGGTGGTTGCCAGAGGGTGTGGGTGGGGGAATGGGTAAAATAGATAAAGGGGATTAAGAATACACTTACCATGAAAGGGGCGCCTGGGTGGCTCAGTGGGTTGGGCGGCTGCCTTCGGCTCGGGTCATGATCCCCGGGTCCTGGGATCGAGCCCCACGTCCAGCTCCCTGCTCGGTGGAGAGCCTGCTTCTCCCTCCCTCTCTGCCTGCTGCTCTGCCTACTTGTGCTTTCTCTCTCTGTGTCAAATAAATAAATAAGATCTTAAAAAAAAAAAAAATACACTTACCATGATGAACACTGAAAAATGTATAGAACTGTTGAACTATTGTACACCTGAAACTAATATAACACTGTGTTAATTATACTTCAATAAAAATAAGTAAAATTCATATATGTATGTATGTATGTATGTATGTATGTATGTATCATCAAAACAGAGAAGATAAAAACAAGAGTCGGTTAGGATGTAAAATGGTGCAGCCACTGTGAAAGACATAATGATGGTTTTTCAAAAAATTAAAAACAATTACAATATGACCCAGCAATTCCACTTCTAGGTATATACCCAAAAGATGTGAAAGCAGGCTCTCAATATTTGTATACCCCTGTCCATAGCAGCATTATGCACAATAGCTACAGCACAGGAACAAGCCAGGTGTCCACCAGTGGATATCTTCTGGCCTCCAAAGCCTTTGAAGAGAAATCCCTTGCATGTGGCAAGTGACTTCTTCCTTGCTGCTTTCAGGGTTCTCTTTTTGTCTTTTGAAAGTTTGATTATAATACATGTTGGTGTGGTTCATCTTAGTTGGAGTTAGTTGAGCTTCTTGGAGTTAGCTGAGATTCCTGGATGTTTATATTCATATCTTTCATCAAATTTGGGCAGTTTTCAGCCATTATTTTTTCACATATTCTCTCTGCCCCATTCTGTCTCCCCTCTCTTTCAGGGACTCCCACAATGTGTATGTAGGTCCAGTTGATGGTGTCCCTTAGGCTCTGTTTACCTTTCTTGACTTTTTTCCTTCTGTTCCTCAGGCTCAATAATTTCTATTTTCCTATCTTCCAAGTTCAAGGACTCTTTTTTATTTTCTTTTGCAGCTTTCAAAATTATCTTTGTCTTTGATTTTGGACATTTTTATTATAATGTGTCTCAGTTAAATCTGTTTGGAGACATGAGCTTCATGTACCTGGATGTCCATATCTTTCCCCAGATTTAGGAATTATTCAGCCATTATATCTTTTTTGTTTTTTTAAGATTTTATTTTTATTTATTTGACAGACAGAGACACAGTGAGAGAGGGAACACAAGCAGAGGTAGTGAGAGAGGGAGAAACAGTCTTCCTGCCCAGCACGGAGCTCGATGTGGGACTTGATCCCAGGACCCTGGGATCATGACCTGAGCCGAAGGCAGATGCTTAACAACTGAGCCACCCAGGCACCCTAGCCATTATATCTTTAAATAAGCTTTCTGCATCTTTCTTTCACCTTCTGAGATTTTCATAATGCATATAGTTCACCCTTGAAGAGTATGGGGGTTAGGGGTGCTGGCCCCCTACACAGTTGAAAATCCACATATAACTTCTGACTCCTCAAAAACTTAACTACTAATAGTTGACCAGAAACCTTACCAATAAAATAAGCAGTCAATTAACACATACTTCATATGTTATATGTATTATATACTGTATTACAATAAAGTGTGCTAGAAGAAAAAAATGTTAAGAAAATCATAAGGAAGAGAAAATACTTTTACAGTACTGTATTGTGTTTATCGAAAAAAGAAATCCACATATAAGTGGACCCAAGAGTTCAAACCCACGTTATTCAAGGGTCAATTATATATTGTTTCACTTGATTATGTTCCATAATTCATGTAGGATTTCTTCATTCTTTTTCATTCTTTTTTTCTCTTCCCCTGACTGGATAATTTCAAATGACTTGTCTTCCAAATTTACTTTCTTCTGCTCGATCAGGTCTGGTGTTGGTATTTTCTATTGCATTTTTCATTTCATTTATTTTCTTCAGCTCCAGAATTTTTATTTGGTTCTTTTTAATGACTTCTGTCTCTTTTGAACCTCTCATTTTGTTCATGTATTGTCTTCCACATTTTGTTGAGTTGTCTCTTCTTGTTCTCTTGTAGCTTGCTGAGATTCCTTAAACAATTATTCATTGTCAATTCATAGATCTCCATTTATTTGAGGCTGGTTACTAGAACATTATGTATTCTTTTGGTGGTATCATGTTTCCTTGACCTTTCATGTTCTGTGACGTCTTGCATTGTGGTCTTTGCATTTGAAGAAGCAGTCACATGCTCCCATCTTTACTGACTGACTTCAGTAGAGAAGTATCTTTACCGGCTAGGGATTCTGAGGCTTTCTCAGAACTTTCCTATGAAAGTGTCCGCTCAGTGCTTCTTGTTATCTCTTGGAGGGGATGACTTAAGATCACATGCATTCTCCATCCTGCAAAGCCAGGCCAGATGCTAAGAGCCTCTCTTTACTTTCCATGGGGTACTGCCAGGAAATGCTCAATCTGCATGCCTGCTCCCAGTCCTGCAAAGTTGGACTGGCTTTATGCATGTGTTTACTGGCCATCTGCAAGAGACCACACAGGGCCCTGGCTATAGGGGATGGGGTGGTTGAGGCCCGTGGAGAGTTGTGGGTGCCTGCAAGCCAGTTCGGCAGGGGGAGGTGTCCACAGGTGAGGTGTCCCCAGGGGCTTATGGGCCTCCTCCCTGATGGAGTTTCCAAAGCAGTTATTAGGCTCTGTGACAAATTTAATGAGTTCCAAGTGCTGGCTGCTATGTTCCCAGCCTCTCCCAGTCCCTCAGCTATGCATATCACAGTATTCTGGGTGGGGTGAGAAAAAAGTGGGTCTCTTGGGCAGAGACCTGCAGGTGGGGAAATCAGGTGCCAACTCATATGCTCTCATTTTCTTCTGTGGGGAAGTTGTGGGTCAACGGATTCTCTCTTGGCCCTGAGCTATGCAACTTCAGTGAGGGGTGATGCAGGTAAAGTGAATTTGTTCTTCTTGACCTCTTCTGTGCATCAATTCTGATTTTTTTTTTCTCCACTACTGTTCTGAAACTTTCCCACTTGACTTTTCCCACAAAATTAATCTCATCTGTGAATGATAATCAAAATCAGTGTTCTGTGGGGTGGATGATGATAGAAATTCCTGTTCTGCCATATTACTGGTGTCACTTCCCCCCTTTCAACTGATGTCAAAACATTACATCTTTATACATCATGTGTCCAAAAACATAAACAGTTTTTAAAGGCATTAGTCTCTTAAATGATGTAGAAAATAATATGTGGTTACAAACCAAAGTTACAGTAATAGCAGATCTTATAATTGCCCTTGTATTTACCGTTACTGAGACTTCTGTGTCCCATTATCACTACAAGTTACTGTCTAGTGTCTTTTCATTTCAAGATGCAAGATGCCCTTATGTTTCTTGCAGGGCAGGGCAGGTGGTCAAAAAGTCCCTCAGCTTTTCTTATATGAGAATGTCATGATTTCTTCACTTTTGACTGGATTTGTATTTTGCTGGATATAGGATTCTTGATTGATGGTTTTTTGTTTTGTTTTGTTTTGTTTTAACACTTTGAATATATCAGCCCACTGCTTTCTGGACTCCAAAAGTTCTGATGGGAAATCTGCTGATGGTCTCATTGAAGACCTCTTGTATGTGATGAATCACTTCTCTCTTGCTGCTTTCAAAATTCTCTCTTTGTCTTTCCACAGTTTGATTGTAATGTGTCTCAATGTGGATCTCTAAGTTCATCATACTTGGAGCTTATATTCATGTTTTTCATTAAATTTGGGAAGTGTTTGTTCACTATTTCTTCAAATATTTTCTCTGCCCCTTTCTCTCTTTTCTCCTTCTAGGACCCCCCCCCCACACACACACACAGTGTGCATGTTGGTCTCTTTGATGGTATGCCCCAGACCCCTTGGGCTCTATTCACTTTTCTTCAATCTTTCTTTCTGTTTCTCAGTTTCAGTCATTTCACTTGTCCTGTTTTCAAGTTCACCAATACTTGCTTCTGCCTACTCACAGGTGCCTTGGAATCCCTCTGCCGAATTTCCCACTTCAGTTGTACTTTTTAGCTCCAGAATTTCTTTTGGGTTTCTTCTTAGTTTTATTTTTAGACTCATGAAATTTGCATCTTTCTCACATCCAGAATACATTCACTCTCATCCTAACATTCCCGAGGTCTTAACTCACTCCTGTATCAGTTCTGAGTCCCAAACCTCACCTACATATCATCTAAATCTAGTGTGGGTGAGACTCAAGGTATGATCCCGCCTGAGGCAATATTCACCTCCCACTGTGAACCTATGAAACCAGACAAGTTATCTGCTTCCAAAATACAATGGTGGGACAGGCATAGGTAGGCATTCTCCCAAAAGGAGAAATCAGAAAGAAGGAAGGGGTTATGGGTCCCAAGTAAGTTCAATAAGTCCCAAGTAAGGAGAAAAAAAATCCGATTAGATTTTAAGGCTTGAGAATAACCCCTTTTAGCTTGGTGCTCAGTTCTTCAGGCCCACTCTGGTGGCAGCTTTGCATTCTGGGCCCACCGGGGTGGCAGTCTGACCCCTGGTCTGTTGAAATCAATTAGGTGGCCTTGCTCTCCTAAACTGAGTTGCTGAGGTGTAATAGTTCTTCATATATTTTGGGTATTATATTTTCCCAGATACACGGTTTTCAAATATATTCCTCTATTTTATGGGTTGTCTGTTTGCATTAGTGATACTGTCCTTTTGGGCACAAAGGTTGTTAATTTGATGAAGTCCAGTTTGTTTTATTTTTTTCTTTTACTGCTTGTCTTCTGGTGTCATACCTAAGAAACCAATGCCTTATCCAAGGTCATGAAGATTTAAATCTTTCTTTCTAAAAGTTTTATGCTTCAGCTTTTACACTTAGGTGTTTCATCCACTTTTGATTTTTGTCTGTGGTGTGAGGTAGGGATCCAATCTCATTCTAGCATGTGGATGTCCAGTTATTCCAGCACCATTGTTGAAGACACTGTTGAATGGTCTTGATACTCTTGTTGACAATCAGTTGGATGAATAGGTGATTCTCAATTATATTCTTTTCATCTAAATATTCATACTTATGCCAGAATAAGTCTTGATTATTGTAGCTTTGTAGTAAGTTTTGAAAATCATAAGTGTGAGTTCTCAGGGCACCTGGGTGGCTCAGTCATTAAGCGTCTGCCTTCAGCTCAGGTCATGTTCCCAGGGTCCTGGGATCAAGTCCCGCATCGGGCTCCCTGCTCAGCTGGGAGTCTGCTTCTCCCTCTCCCTCTGCGTGCTGCTTCCCCTGCTTGTGCTCTCTCTCTGTGTCAAATAAATAAATAAAATCTTAAAAAAAAAAAAAAGA